CACCCCCCCTCACCTCTCCCCTCCATCCCCTGCCATGCAGCCTTCTCACCCTCCGAAAGAGCCCATAGAGGGTATGTTCCAGGTCTCGTTGCCACCACAGCTGCCGGCATCGCTCCAGGGCCTCCTTATAGAGACAGATCTCCAGCTCCTCGGCCCCAAAACTGCGCACAGTCTGCAGCCCTCCAACTGCCTCCCGCACCACCTGCCCTGCTTTTGCCACTGCGTTCTGGATCTCCTGGAGCACTGCCTGGAAAAGGAGGGCAGGAGATATGAGGGGCTGACTTGGGAGAAGATAGGACACCCCCAGGTCTCATTCCTGCCCTTGGGATGCTCTGCTGATCTACCTAAAAATATCAAACTGTCCTCTTTCACTCTTCTTCCATTTCTTTCCAGAAGGACTCATGACAGCAGAGAGGGAGGGAACAAAATATTACCAAGCTCTCAGTGCTAGGTAGTGTGGGAGATACACGCTATTTGTGTTCCTTCATTTAAGGTAATTCACACCAGTTTCAGTGTCTGAATGAAGAAAGAAGGGGTAGTTTTCCTAAAGGGCCACAGCTAGTTAACAAAAGGTGGGGATGTAACTCAAAATGGATCAAAAAACCCAAACCACAGCTAAAACCATAAAACTCTTAGAAGAAAACATAGGGGAAAATCTTCAGGACACTAGATTTGGCGATGATTGCTTGGATATGACACTTAAAGCACAAGCAACAAAAGAAAAAACAGGTAAGTTGGTCTTCATCAAAATTAAAAGCTTTCATGTATCAGAGGACTCCACCAACAGAGAGAAAAGGAAACCCACAGAATGGGACAAAACATTTCCAAATTATGTATCTGATAAGGGGCTAATCTCCAGAATATTGAAAGAACTCCTACGACTCAACAAGTAAAACACAACCCAATTTTTAAAATGAGCAAAGGACTTAAATAGACATTTCTCCACAAAATATATAAAAATAGCCAATAAGCACATGAAAAAATGCTCAACACCACTAATCATTAAGGAAATGCAAATCAAAACCATGGTGAGATATCACTTCATAACCATTAGGGTGGCCCTTATTTTTTATTCTTTTTTTTATTTTTAATGCTTTTTATTTTATTTTTGAGACAGAGATAGAGACAGACAAAGCATGAGTGGGGGAGGGGCAGAGAGAGAGGAGGACACAGGATCCGAAGTAGGCTCCAGACTCTGAGCTGTGAGCACAGAGCCAGAGCCCGACATGGGGCTCGAACTCATGAACCATGAGATCATGACTTAAGCCGAAGTACTGAGCCAACCAGGCACCCCAGTCCTTATTTTTTAAAAAGTGGTACATATATGTATACAACAGAATTTTATTCAGCCATAAAAAAGAAGAAAATCCCACGATTTGCGACAACATGGATGGAACTTGAGGGCAATACACTAAGTGAAATGAGCTAGACAGAGTAAGACAAATACTCTATGATGTCATTTATATGTGGAATCTAAAGAAAAAAAAAATTTCACAGAAAAAGAGATCATCAGATCTGCAGTTACCAGAGACCGGAGGCAGGGGTGGCTCAGGTCATGATCTTGCGGTTTGTAGGTTCAATAAGGGATTGATTAGAGGAAGGTGGTCAAAAGGTACAAACTTCCAGTTCTATGCTAAGTACTGGGGAATGTAATAAAGAAGAAACAAACAGAAGATAACAAGTGCTGGAGCGGGATGTGGAGAAACAGAAATCTTTGGGTATTGCCAGTGGGAACGTAAAATGGTGCAGCCACTGTGGAAACCAGTATGGCGGCTCTTCAAAATATTAAATACAGAGGCACCATATGATCCAGTGATTCTACTGCTGGACATATGCCCAAAAGAACTGAATGCAGAGACTCGAACAGATATCTGCACACCCATGTTCACAGCAGCATTATTCACTATAGCCAAAAGGTGGAAGCTACCCAAGTGTTCAGCAACAGATAAACAAACTGTGGTCTATGCATCAATGGATGATTAGCCTTGAAGCGGAAGAAAATTCTGACACGTTCTACCACACGAATGAACCTGGAGGACATTACAGTAAATGAAAAAAGCCATCACAAAAAGACAACTACTGTATGATCCCTCCTGTATGAGATACCTAGAGTAATCAAATTCATAGAGACAGAAAGTAGAATGGTCATTGCCAGGCGCCGGGAGGAGGGGAAATGGGGAGTTATCATCTACTAGGTACCGAGTTTCAGCTCGGGAAGATGAAGAAAGTTCTGGAGATGGAGGGTGGTGATGGTTGCACAGCAATGTGGAGTGCACTTAATGCCACTGAAATGGCATAATTAAAAACAGTAAAAATGGTAATTTTTACATTATATATACTTTACCACAATCTTTGTAAAAAGAGAGAAAGTGGAGCTGATATTCAGACTCAGGACTTCCTGACTCCGTGTTTCTACTTTTCTCTACACTCCATCCAAATTCCCTCCCCTAATTATAAAGGGGAAAATTCTATCTAAAACCCTCTAAGACAGCACTTTTAATCTTTTGTGGGGAAGGTATGTACAGACTCCTTTGAGAATCTGATAAGAAGTTATCCTCTCCCGGGGCGCCTGGGTGGCTCAGTCGGTTGAGTGTATGACTT